ATTTTTTAACTCAATTTTTAGCGATTCTAGACCACGTAGGGAAACACAAAGACCACCATTGAACTCCCCGTGACGAGCTGCATCGAATGAATAGGGGAGAGCGGGGCCAGTTGAAACACGGGGTCAGATGAAACATGGCTTTATTTTCAACAGTATGCAACATATGGCGTTGCCGACACCATTGCGCATCCGCGCTCGACCACTTCCTTTGTCAACGGCGTTTGGGCGGCAAACGGACGGTAATTTTGATTTGACACTTGTTTTTGTGTTTTTGAGGGGCGTTTGGGAGAAATCGTTCTTATGAATATTTTGTGATATCTCATATACCTTTGTTTGCTGAAAGAAGAACTCCTGGCTCCGGAATAACACCTTATTTGGTCCTTCATTCAGCATGATGCCGTCCCTCCAGCTCTTTTGACATGTGCTTTACGGCGCGTGCGAGATGGCGGGAGCGGATGGGGTCAATTGAAACGCTTCTCTGAGGGTCAGTTGAAACAGGGCCACAGGCCGTTTCAATGGACCCCGGTGACCTTTGCAATGGTTATTGTTCAGGGGCTGTAAATATTAAAGGAAATAGTCCACCTTTGAAATGAGCTTTTAAACTGAAATAGTAGGTTAACAGAGCTCAATTTTTGACCCCTTTTCTCCAGCCTTTTGCTTGAAAGCACACTATAGCCTGAGCTATTTCTCATTTTTCTCATCCGCCCATTTTACCATAGTCTATGTACTTTATGTCACCTAGTATGAGGAACTTTGCACTTTTAGCTTTCCAACGACCTATTGAATGTAGCATTTGGAAAAGTAAACCGGACAAAATATCTCCTTAAGAAAGTGGCCTTAAAGAGGAAAACATCCCATTGTTAAGGATAGGTGCAATTGACCCCATGGGCTGGTTCAATTGACCCTCGCATCGGGGTCATTTGAAACGGGCGTAGAGCTGTTTTATAAGCTTGCGTTTGGCAGCAAAATATGTTTGAAACATAATTTTACATATCTTAAAATAAAGCCAAAAGAGCATATTTTTCATGGTATTGTGCATTTTTCGATATGACAACTAGATCTCGCTGTGCATGTCAATATATAAAAAGTGGTTCAACTGGCCCCGCTCTCCCCTACCCATTTTATGCAAAAATATCAACTTTGAAATTTGACCTAATTTGACCTGACCTTGACCTGACCTTGACCTGACCTTGACCTGACCTTGACCAAAACGTGACCTAAGCTGGCCCCAAAGACTGCCTGACCCACATAATCGCATTTGTCATGTAAAATGGACCATAAAACATGTATTACACGACACTTTCATATTGTGACCCCCCAGTGACCTGACCTCTGTGACCTGACCTGGTATCAGTCAGTAGTGACCTCAAATAGCAAAATATGTGTTTGAAGAACATTTCCCCATCAATGATTCACAATGAAATGCATTTTACTCGATTTCACAACGCATTTCTTGAAATGCCTGTAAACGATGAAAATTGGACCTTTGACCTGACCTGTGACGTGATCGGTTTGACCTAGGTCAATAAAATTGGGTCACAAGGTAGTTCCCTGATAGGGCTATCCAACACCATTTGCCGCTTGTCGCTAGGTTGCGTGGTTCTCGAGATCTTAGGGGGGGGCAAATTGTGCCCCCCCCAACAGGGCGCGTTGCTCGGCAGCGCCCAACGGGGCGCGGGTTAATTGGAAAAGAAATTATGCACTAGCATGATTTTCTTGATTGTTTGGAACTCACTAAAGCCTACTATTTATGCTTTGCCATGGCTTCTAATTTGGTATCATTTAAAATTAGCTCCTATTTAGTTGTGCTGTGTTCCAGCAATCCGGTATTCATATTGGTGTCAATAAGGACACACCAGTAGGGTAAGGTGCCTAATTAGCGACCCTTTCCGATTTGCGACCTACCTCCCTACAGAAAAACTGGCAGGAGAAAACGGGGTAAAAATATCGTCAAAAGGTCAGCCATACTTTGGTTATCAAATTAAATTATTTTCCGGTCGTCGATGTTTCTGGTGGGACGTTTCAGGTGAGTTTAAATAAAAATGACGAGTTTCTTATCCAAAATGTGTGTGTTTGGGCCCTCTCTGATGAAAAGCGATGCACATTAGGATGATGCACCTTTTTTATTCTGAATCGACGTTCCTTCTTCAATTGATTGCCGTTTTCCCATAGTGAATCGCTCAACTGTGCACAGCATGGCGGTTAAAAATGTGTCGCAACTCATATTTCCTATTTGCGCCTGACATGGTCGCAAATAGCTCAAGAAGGGAAAGAAAGGGGAAAAGAGAGAAATGAAAATGAGGTGTTGCTGAAGCTTGCAATGTGCGGCAGGGGATGCCAAATGTCGTCACCGACTGCAGGGGTGCCGAATTCAGCGCGGACCTTGAATATCATACGAGATAGCCCGCAAAATTTGGGTTTCCGCCTTCTTTTCGCCTTTCGGTGCATCACGTGATCAGTTTTTACTTCCGTAAATGTGTTGGATAAACGTTCCTGTTCGAGTGATTGAAAACTTTGCGTATAGGTTACCTTTTTGAGATCGTATTTCATCTTTTCAGGCGTCGCATTTTTTGCCATTTTTAATATGGGGAAACCCATAGACTTATTAGCGACCCTCCCAGGTCGCTAATCGGGAAGAGTTCCCTATTAGCGTTTTTTGCAATGGTTTGCCAAAATGCTCACTACAAATAAGTTAGTGAATATTGGGGCAGAAAATGACTATGTTTTAATAGAAAAATGAACGGTCTCTCCGAAAATCAAGCCAGTAATACAGTGGCACTCACAGAGCGTGAGCAATGACGGTTCAAATTAAGGGGGTCGCTAATTAGGCACCTTACCCTACCACTAAAAACGATATTAGCGTGAGACTGGTATTACGGCTATTTATGGAAGCAAATATCAGGTCGGCCGTTTTACCCTATCTAAATTAAGGCACATAACGGACGAGCATAGGTGCTTGAGTCGAAAAGGAAAACAACAACACTGAACTACAGAATTAGTGCTGAATGACTCAACCACTACGGCACCGGTGGAAGCATGATAAGTGCATGGGTATCGCTTGTGTCTATATTTCATGTTTAAATTTTATGTTCATGTTCATAAGAAAACTATTTTTGATTTAAAGGTAGTGTGCCACCTTTGAAAGATTTCCCGTTTTATTTTTCCTAGGATAAGAAGCTTCTGTTTTTACCTAATATCGCAAAAAAAAAATCAAAAATGGGCCTGGAATAGTGCCTTTTTCGCCTAAAAGTTTATCGGTTTTTAGATATGTATAACAACTGTAGTTGGCTCACCTGCAAACAGGCGTCGGGCAACAATCGCGAATGCGGCGCACTTGTGACAATAAGCAAAGGTCATTATAGTGTTACGACCATACGACGTACGGGAATGAGTTATCAGCTGTCTAATCGTAGACAACACAATGTCGAGCCTTAAACTGTAAGCCTGTATTGGTATTGTTTCTTAAATTTGGCTGTCAAACATTAATTTGTGGTTTGAAATATGATTTTATGTAAAATAATTGATATGAAACAGCCGTCTCTTAATATGACCCCATTACACCACACGCAAGTGGCAGAAATGACAATGATCAGCTGACGCATTTTTCTTGGCCGAAGTCAGAGCGCGCGGGTGCAGTTATTTTTTTACATCTTAGTTTTTGTTTACGCGTTTTTAGACGTTTTTCGGCGCACTGTTGTTGAAGTTATACAAGCCTATTTTACAGCTATTTTCGACTCGCAAAACTGCTGCAGTTTTTATAGCCTTGTTTTGGCATATTGACATTTTGATGGAATTGGAATGCATAAAAAGATGTTTATTCTTAAAATCTGGAATGCCAATATAATTACAAGGTGAATCGAGCCACGTTCGTAGCGAAATATTACGAATCAATGATAATAACAGTAACCGGCAGAAAATATGTAGTTACCGCGATTGTATAAGATAATACTGGATATTCCGCGTAAAATTGACAGGAGATATCATAAGAATAATAGCTGAAACAAATATTCAAATAACTGAAAGCTCATAATACCCACTTAGCACTGCTAACGCTGACCATTTTCTTCAAACATTAAATGCTTACCATAACATACCATCTAAAGATAATGAACTTGAACCTCGAAAAGCGAGTTGTCCGGTTTCAGTCTCAGTTTGTGGGGTACTGGCCACTGGGATGCATGCATTATCAGTGAATCAAATAAAAATTGTTCGGGGCATCATGCTGTGATTATATGAACCAGTTAATATGTACGAAATCTAGTCATTGGCCAAACGTAACGGCCACGGACCGTATGTTGACGACGACCCCGACATTTAGCAAATGAAGTGTAGGTTCAAGAATAGAGATCTTATATACATAGCCCATACGACCCATAGAGATCTTATATGTATATAAGATCTCTATGGGTTCAAGCAGTTCAGATAATGCTGGTGCGTGGAGATTAATAGTGATGTAAATGTGCTCACAGCCTACAAACACGGTAACAAATATCGATTGCGCTTCGCTCAACCAGAGCCATGCTCGTTCTTGCTCATGAAACAGTGCATCCCCATAAAATGGAAAGTCTGAACGAATGCATTCGGGTTCCTACCACTGAATCACCTTATATTGAGATCCGTTTCTTAACAGGAACACAAACGCCGCCCATCAATTTGTCAGCACTAAGGCAACAGCGTCTGACAACGCATCAAATGGCCAACTTCTGACACTATCTACCAATACGGTATCGGCAATAAAATTGCATTGCAAAATGCAAAAAATGCACCATTTTCAAGCGCAGCTATTGACAACCAAGTCCGACCATTTAGTGTCTCGAGACACATTCCAACTGCATAGGTACCGCAGTAACCCATTAGGGGCGAAAGGAAACATATGACTCGTGTACGACCAGCGTTCTGCCAGCGTACGACGCATAAAGCAAACTGCTCAAACAACTGCGATCCCGAACAACACAACACAGAGCTCCGAAACGAATGGTTTACAAAAGTCTACGACTGACGACATCGAAACAGTACGTTCATCGGGACTAGTCACATGACTCGCTCAACCCAGCTGGGTTATGGGTACTAAGTGCGCTTCAAATTGACCTCTGACAGCCATTTACGCTAGTTTGATGCATAAAACTGTACATTGAAACTCAAGCGGCAGCACATAGATCTCCATCAAGGTGGTTATATACAACAGAGCACCTCGCTAAAACCGCACGCTAAAACCGCGCTAAACCGCGAGCCGCACTGTCACACTGACAGTTAACACTGAGCTGCGAGTCGTGACAGTCGCACTGCGTCATATGCACGCAGATGTCGCACTCACGGCACCGTTGCTGGCACTGCGCTGCGGGTGGACACGCGCGGTGCAGTAACTAGCTCCACGGTGTGCGGCTCACCGGAGGGATTACCAGTCTCCGACCGGACAGTCCAGGCGGGAAGTGCGGTGTCTTCAATCATGACCACCGTCCCCGTCTCCGCGGAGTGCCGCACGGCGGCGACGCGGCGGCGTCGGATCTTGAGCTGGTGGACACTGGACTCCTGCCACAGCTGCCAGCTTCAGCCCTTCAGCATCCTGTCATCAGCAAACTCCAGCAGAGCCCCAATGCAACTGGGAAAATAAAATGTATGCTGTTAAGTGTTAAGCCAAATCATGCAAAACATTTCCTTGCACAGGATTCTCTTTGGCAGTTGAGCAAAATCTTCAGTGATATCCATGGCCATGACAAGAGGACTTGATGCCATTGTAAAAAATATAAGCTCATTGGTTCTCATTTACCCACATCGAGACTCTATAGGTACCATTCATTTGTATATCATCAAGTATGTTAACTACACAATATAATTATGCAATAGACTGACATGAAATATGTAGGAATTTCAATAAAAAAATTTGGAAGTTCAATATATAATGAAATACCCAGCTCAACAGAGGCAAATATAATAATGACAGCATGTAAGCAAAGTAAAAATAGAATTAAAGATTTCTTCTACAGAAAAAACACTTGTAATTTTACTCTATCACTTACCAGGTATTTGAATTATCAGTCATCACCAGACTTGCACAAAACTTTCTAGATATTATGCCACAAAATATAAACAAAGTATCTCAAATTGCACAACATAAGCACCAGCCACTGGAGCAGTATGGGGTCTCGTAACTTGCACGTTCAGTCTGTAAGAGCATGCCTGACTTGACTTAACGGCTTTGAGGCATCACCTTTGCAGAAGCTCCTTCTATTCTTTTTTAACATAAACTTTAACTATTATTACCATGCTATGATGATGAGGTGGCTGGTTTCGGGCGCATGACAAGTAGCAACCCTTCTTTCATTCTATTTCTTAGTTTTCAAATGCTGCACAAAATGTTTTTTCTTCCACGTTCCTTCTGTCATTATAAAAAATAATAGGTATCATAATTGCTTCACTTCTTCTTTATATTCCAAGTATCACTGCAACAATCCAACACATCTCCCGTTAGTAAACCTCGAGTAAACCCAGTAAACCATTGCCCTATGCCCGCTAAAGTAAACAAGTGGAATGCGCCAGAAATTGTAAAAATCGCGCCAAAATAGCAAACTAAGATGTGAAAAAATAACCGCACCCGAGCGCGCGGCCCGACGCACCACGCGTATTTGGAAATTCCGACCTCGACGAGCATCAGAAGCCACCTAACAGGCGTGTTCGAAACCGCAGGAGATGATGATGAACGGGTTTATCGAAACTTGATTGGATGAGCCTATCGGTAATAGCGATTTTAGTGTGTGCATTTATTGTTCATAGTGGTGTGAAATGTGGTTGGGGTACGACCGACAACCCGTCGGGGCGAATTTCGCACTGGGGTACTCAAAATTTGAAGAATTTAAGACGTTTCCATAAGTTTTGAAGGTATGGATAAGTTCTAAAAATCCGGTTCTCCTTATCCGGGTCATTAACTCCATATGGTCCAAGAAAGCTGGCACACTACCTTTAAAGAGTAACAGCCATTCGAAAAACAGAGATGTGAGACATCGTGTTTTAGTATTAAATCGACGAAATTCTGCTTGGGGAGCGGTACTAAGAGATTCTTATGGCAATGACTTAGCTTTAAATGGAGCTGGTGCGACGCAATTCAGTTTCTGTAATCTCGCCAGTCGCCAGTTCCTACCACTCGACAGAGCAAAACGGACCAGCCGCACACAGAACAAGTTTCACACTGCACTCGTTTGCCAAAACAAAGCGTAATAAACACTGAACAGTCAACATTTTTCGTCTACCTGCACACATACATCGCACTGGACGTAATACCCCTCAGCGATCTACCCTATCCAGAATCCAGTTGAGGTACTCGGAGACCCTCGTGTTGACGCTGGGCACCCCGCCCTCGCCGCAGCGCACCGCCCCGAACGACACCACGCCCACCAGGCTGTAGGGCGGCCCGGTGCGTGTGGCGGCCATCAGAGGACCGCCCGAGTCGCCGGCGCACGAGTCCTGGCCCGGCTGGCCGCCGGCGCAGATGTGTTTCGACGTGATGACGGCGCCCTTGCTGCGCAGGATGGCGCTGCACTCCTGCAGTGGCACCCCCGGCAGACGCACTTCGTTCATCACCAGACTGTTGGGCCCGAACCGCCGCGGCCCCGTGCGTCCGAAACCGGCCACCGTCATACCAACGCCGTCGTAGTTTCGCTGGCGCGCCTCGCCGAATGGCAGGCAGATCTTGCCGACGAAGAGCGTCTCGGACACGGGCCTGTCCAGCTTGAGCAGCGCGATGTCGTTGTCGCGTTCGTTTGGTCGGTTGTAGGACTCGTGTACAAAAGTGCGCGCCACGCGGAAGTCTTGCGGCGCGCTGCAGTTGCGCGGCCCGCCGCCCGAGCGCAGGCAGTCGAGGGGCGAGCTGAAGTCGTACTCGCCGAGGCGGACGGTGGTGAGCCGGAGGCCGGCCGGAAGGTCGGCGACGCAGTGCGCCGCCGTCAGTACGTGCTGCAGGCTGATGAGGGTGCCGCCGCACTCGAACTTGACCGGCGCGCCGCGGTCCGAGTAGCCGAGCACAGCCACCCAGGGGAACTTGCCGACCGGCACCTGCTTGCCGCCTACCACGCGGTCGCTGAAGTAGGTGCCGCACGAGAAGCCGCGCTCCACGATGGCGCGGTTCGGGTGCTGCTCCGGGGAACCTTGGTGCTGACCTGCTCCCCCGCCGCCGCTAGGACGGGCTTGCTGACCGGCGCCGGCCCTCGAGGGGCAGCAGAAGAGCGGCGTTCGCTGCACTCGGCCGCAGACGAACTGGCGCAGGATGTGGACTGTCTGCGGCGAGCTGACGCCCGTGCCGGAGACGACCTGCAGCAGCGCCGGACACTGGTGCAGCGTGCCGCACACACCGGCTCGGCCGAACGGATCCGAGCAGGCCGAGCCGGGCCGGCCCAGCTGGCGGCGGTGGCGTCCGGCGCCGGAGACCGCCGTCAGCAGACACACCGCTGCCACCAGCACCGACAGCGGTAGAGGCCGGTGCATGGCGGCGGACTGGCCGGCGGAGTGGTGCCGAGCGGTGCCGGCTGAGTGGTGCCGAGCGGTGCCGGCGGGAGTGGTGCCGAGCGGTGCCGGCGGCTCGTGTCGAGGAAGGGGCGCTCGGAGCGCCGGCCGTGGTGTTCGTGACGCCGCTGCCCGCAGAGTGAGTGCTCCTGGCGCCGGCGCCGGCGGCTGCTGCTGGCTGACTGACAGCCACCCAGAACCAGTTTGGCTGGCACACAGCCTCCGCGCCGAGCTGTGACGTCAGGATGACAAAGCCACTGCAGAGCTCGGTGAGCGCGACTATCTCTCCCAAGATCACGGCAGCAGGAGTCTGAGGAAATGGCCCACATCGAGGGCACACTGCCGGCGGGCTCCGTGCATGGCACACAATTACAGATCGTGCCGATAACGACCGGCAGCGGCAGACAATGGCCGTCACACGGGCGCACCGACCGCTGGAGGATAACCGTAATATGACCTTTCTGTTCTACCGACTCACGGAACCCGAGACAGAGAGAAAAATGAGCCAGCAATAGCATGCATCGAAAACAGTCTATTGACGGTTCATGATAATTCACCTATATACGAAACCGCAACAATGATTTTTACCACAGTCATGGGCGCATTAATTCTTCACTTCACTGAAACATGAAAGTATCACAGGCGCGGGAGCCAGGGGTACTCAAGGGGGCTGATGATGAATGAAGATGAAACTTACAGGAACTAGTATCCATCAGAGGTCTCATACCTCGTATATCTCGGTTTTTCCCTAAAGGCTACATCAGGTCAGGTCGGTCACGTGACCTCACCATTATAAGTCAATGGGGAAAAATGAAAACTGCTAATTTTCGCCAGAAACGATCTCAAGCTATTGTAACCACACGGAATCGTGATTTCATGCACTCCTTGCAAGTTTCGATGCTTCACTTTTGCAATGTTGGCCTTGCGTGACGTCATTTATGACGTCACTATGGTCATTAGAGTTTTTTGTCAATAACTCCTGATGAAATTGAGCTAGCGAGTTGCGAAAGCCACCAATGGACTTCGGAAGACATGCCAAATTGAATGATATGCGATATATAACGAGGCTTGAAATGATCTCACGCATGTCAAAGTGTTTTTATTTTAGGCAAAATAAATATCAAAAACAGTAAAACAAGCTTTCGGCATTACGCCGTCATCAAGTTTGAATAAATTAACATGTTTTTGATTTTAAAAAGCTAGAGCACAATCATATTCTTCCAGGCATCCTCATAGCAGCTCACTTTTTTAAACGTATTGCAATACTTGGAGGTAAGCTATGGTATTTCTGAGCATGATTAAATTATATCAATTTAGTACGGTGCAATATCGAAATATATCAATTTAGTTTTAATTATATCAATTTGCAACATATAACATAAGCATAAGGTTATTCACTCTATTTACAGTATTGCAATACGTTGCAAATAGTGTGGTACATTGCACATGGCAAGTAAATAATGTACAACAATGTATCATTAGTCATTACGTACACTACAACATGACATGCACACAATATATCATAGGTACAACAATGTCAATAAATCTCACCTCAACATCAGCCGCATACATCATCAACACCCGGTCAGTAAACATTGACAGTATAATCATATTGAAAAACATTGCCGCTGTTCTTAGCTCGATTCCAGTCAACCAGTCGTGAGTCGGGCAAGTCAGTTAGGTGCATGTGTGTGTGCGTGTGTGTATGTGTGTACGTGTGCGTGTGCGTGGTAGAGTAAACATGTGAAACAAAGGGTAGACATAAGTGAGTGTATAAGTTTGTGAGTGAGTGAGTGAGTGAGAGAGTGAGTGTGTGAGTGAGTGAGGGGGTGAGTGAATGAGAGAGAAGTGTGCGTGTGTGTGTGTGTTATGACCTATGGTTTACGAGCGAGGGGCCATGAGCTTTTCATCATGTTTAATGTGGGCCTTAGGTCTCTAATTTTGATGGATTCAGTGATTTTTAGTTCAGCAGAATCCCGTCCCCAACCGATTTTATCAATAGTAAAGGCGAAGTTGATTTCAGTGCTACTTGCGTTAAAGTGCGAATCAGCAATATGTTCACCTAGTGGGGTGTCCGGTTTTCTCAGGCGAGCGTCACTTAGGTGCTCGTTGAATCGATAACGTACAGGGCGGGTGCTTTCTCCGATATAAAATTCAGTTCGTCCGTTTCTTTCACAGAGGCTACAGGTAATTTTATAGACTACGTTTTTCTTAGTACACTTACCCTTCAGCCCACTCTCACAGGTGTGACAGTGCTTAGTCCCGGCTGGGCAGGGCGGTTTAGAGAAGGCGGAAGAGTTTGTTTCCTACTGTGGGACCACTAATCCAGGCTACTTTGATATTAGTTTTAGATCTTCTCAAAACACCATTGACTCTTCTAACGACGTTTATGTCTACCCTTTGTTTCACATGTTTACTCTACCACGCACACGCACACGTACACACATACACACACGCACACACACATGCACCTAACTGACTTGCCCGACTCACGACTGGTTGACTGGAATCGAGCTAAGAACAGCGGCAATGTTTTTCAATATGATTATACTGTCAATGTTTACTGACCGGGTGTTGATGATGTATGCGGCTGATGTTGAGGTGAGATTTATTGACATTGTTGTACCTATGATATATTGTGTGCATGTCATGTTGTAGTGTACGTAATGATACATTGTTGTACATTATTTACTTGCCATGTGCAATGTACCACACTATTTGCAACGTATTGCAATACTTGTAATCAAGTATTGCAATACGTTTAAAAAAGTGAGCTGCTATGAGGATGCCTGGAACAATATGATTGTGCTCTAGCTTTTGAAAATAAAAAACATGTTAATTTATTCAAACTTGATGATGGCGTAATGCCGAAAGCTTGTTTTACTGTTTTTGATATTTATTTTGCCTAAAATAAAAACACTTTGACATGCGTGAGATCATTTCAAGCCTCGTTTAATAATAATCCTGTCAACCATCCTCGCCCATATAAAAGATATGCGATATGACTTCCTTCGACTAAGTTCGTGACATGGGGGCCCTGACCTGACAGTGACCCGAGGTCAACACCTTAAGTTGATCTCAATCAAATAAAAAGTATACAAGTCGACGCGCCGGAGCAAGCTAACATGATAATGCCAAAATCGCGGTTTGGCGGCCATTTTTGGCGAAGTTAGTGGCCACAAACCGAACTCGTAACTTGGGCCACTTGACCTGACCACAGATGTCACCAGTTGACCTGAAACATTAAAATCGGCTACAAATCGCTGCGTCTCATATCGGTGCACACGCTCGTTCTTTTTTCTCTCGACGCTCTAGCTCCATCAGGGGCGAAACTGCGAGGGGAGTCGTACCCACCCACCCCCTTCGCCTACCCCGGTATGTAGGAAACCAATAGGTCTGGCAAGTTTTTTTTATAATATTTATTTCTCAGTCAAATTCACAAGACACAGTACATGCTCACAACATCACAACACTATGCCACAAACTTCTATATCATCCTGCCCCGCCCTGCATGGCCCCGCGGAATACAGACTCGGCCTCGCTGGGGTGATGCCCCAGGCCGCCGGCCGGGCCCGCGACCCTTCAACTTTACCAATAGTCTGCTGGCGAGCCGCGCGCCCGGCCGGCCGGCCGACCCTTTATAGGGCCGGCCTCCGGCTAGCCGGGCTGGTTTAGGGGCAGGCAGAGGGCGCGAGCTACAAATTTGCACATGTGCGATAGTTGCACGTACGATGGAAGAACGCCGTAACATGCAAAAACGCCGACTAAGAAACGGGTCCGGCGAGGGTTGACCCTCGCCCTGGTAGGACATTTTTCATAACGCGACCTGGCGGGGGGGGGGAGGGTGTGTGATAAGACCCCCTGGCGTTTCAAAACGAAGCGTCGTAGCGTTTCGCAAAAAAAAAAACAGTCGATTGCTCTCAGCGAGTACCTACTCATGATTGGTGGTACATTTCTGGGCCTACGTCAATAATTGATCCAGTTATGGGAGGTCAAAGGTCAAATTTCGGGGAAAAGCTATAATTTTCCAAATTACTTAGCCAATATACATAGGCGATTCTATGAAAGATAGCGACATGAAACTTTCACGACCGTGTTTCTCAGCGAATTAGCAACAAAATGATGATATAGTTATTTCAGTAATTACTGGCGTGAGCCGTGAAACATTCCCCGGGAACACGGGAGGTCACACCCGCCGCCGGCGAGGACGGTCGCTGACGGAAGTTCAATTTAAGAAATTGACCTGGGTTGACCTTGTAAAGGCCAAGGAACAGTTTTGAAGGCTCTTAGGTGGAAATGGAGCCACAGATTCAGATTCAGGACCTCAAGAAACCCTACTAAACACAGCTAATATCGCGGATGTCAACGTGTGAACATGCGAGGTCATTGACCTTGTGTGACCTTGCCCTTGGAAAGGTCAATATACAATGTAAAAATAAATTTCAAGTCCAGTCAAATACTGACACAAATCACACGGAATAGTTTCGTTCTTGTCAATGAGATTACGTTCAGTTACGATGTGTGCGATTTTGTCAAAAAACGGTCGGAGGTTGTGCCTATTATGACGTTATAGCTCGGTGACCTGACATGACCCAAACATTTTTTTACCACAAGCTGCGCAAAGGATGTCCCAGAGGCTATCGAAAATTTCAGCACGATCCGACTTATAGTTCGGCGCGCATCGCAAAAAAAAAAAAAAAACTCAGGAGGGGGTCGCATCGAAACCCCGCCCGCCCCTGCCAGGGCGAGGCTTAACCCGCGCCGAGTTGGGGTTGTTTGGACACCCCGTGCGGTTTTTCCTTAGGTGTATCTTGTCGCAGATATTTCGCAGTGGCCAGGTTAGAAGAGGGTGTTCAAAGTTCAAACACCCCCCCCCCCATCCCAGCGCAGTTGACGCCGAGCACCGTCCCGGCGCGGCGGCGCGGGTTAATGTTTCACGCTGCCCAGATCAAACGAGGTAGCATATTGATCTGTAGTTTGCATAGAAGGCTACCACGGTCTACGAACTAGGTACCAAATGATGGCATGTCCAGTGCAATTATTCCTATTCGCATGTCCAAGAACTTCTGTGCAACGGCTTTATTTTTTACCTGACCTGTAAATGACCCAAGTTCACCGCTGGCCTAAAGGGCAGAACGATAGTGTGA